GGTCATTTTTATAAATTCAACTATTATTTTCTCTTGTGGACTATATGTAAACATCTTTTATGTGAAATATCTTATTCAGGTCAGCACTAAATAAACAATAACATGCATTTTGTATGATCCCTCTTATTTTGGTAAAATAATAAACATTTTGCAGATTCTGAAAGGGGTATGTAAACTTTTGAGCTCAACTGTATATGATCCAGAAAGTGCTTTTACAATATCATCTTCATCATCCTGATCAGGGTTGCAGTGAATTTGGTGCCTACGCCAGGATCACTTGGTGCAAGGCAGGAGAATTCATCTGGATGGGATGCTAGTCCATCACAGCGCACCATTCACACACATTCACACCCTGAATCACACCTAGGTGGTGGAGCAGTGGGTGATGTTGCTTTGACAATAATGCAACTCCGTATGGTCGTGCTAGTACAGCTAATAAGAATTGAATTGCAAAAAATGAAGAAGAGAGAATGACAAAGTGTTTTTTGATATAAAGGCATTTATAGACATCAGGTGATGAAGTTGAATGTTTAATGCCTTGAATTGTTGTCTGAACCTTCATTTCCATCTGTTCTGTCCAACAGGCATTGTAGTGAATTAATCCTGCTGTATATTAGTGGCTGCCCTTAAGTAACATCAATTTAGGACAAATGCAATGATTTTTGTGATGCCACTGGATCATGAAATTAACAAATTTAATGTTGCATTTAAAGCCTGCTCTGATTCAGGCTGCATTTCATAGAGGTTGGTGGACTTGCCTTCTCTTTTTCTCTAGCCATCCCTCAACATTTTTTTGTCTTACTATCCTTGTGATGATCTTTCATTGACATAATTATTAATGCAGCCAATTAATGCTATGCCTATACCTAAATCTAACCTTAACCTTAACCTAACTAACCAAAATGAAACCTTTTAGCCCTTATAGATTTTTAAATAAAAGTTGCATTAAAAAAAAAAAAAAAGATTTTCCTCTTGTGGACCAGCCAGTGTCCCAAGGTCAAAACTGTCAGATATTCCTGTGCTTGTGGGGTTATTTGGTCTGTCATCTATCACAGTTGTTTTCTGTGGTCTTTTGGGTCTTTTATCGTTCCTGAGTTCACCAATGTGCTCTTTTTACAAATGTGTTGTAAATAGTTGATTTGGCCACACCTAAGGTTTTTGCTGTCTCTCTGATGGGTTTGTTTTTTCAACCTAATGATGGCTTGCTTTACCAGCAGTAACAGCTTTTTTGACTTCATATTGATAGTAAACAGATTCCAGCAAAAGATAGCAAAAGATTCCAAATGAAAATGCCACACTTGGACTCAACCTTTTATCTGATTACTTGTAAGTGACATAATGAGGGAATAACACATACCTAGCCATGAAACAGCTGAGCAGCCAATTGTTTTATTTTTCATCCCTTAAAAAGGGGAAACCACATACAGTCTCCTCCGAAAGGATTGCAAGGACAATTCCTTTGTTTTTGCAACAGCCCAGCAGCCCAGTGACATGACCAAGTGTTGCATTTTTATTTTGTGATGCTTTTCCAGGCTTGTACCACAGCCTCTTTCCTTTTGGGGGGGGGGGGGGGGGGGGGGGGGGGGGGGGGGGTAGGTTCTCCATTCAGTTTCCTCTTCAGGAGGTGAAATGCATGCTCAGTTGGGTTAAGGTCTGGTGATTGACTTGGCCAGTCTAAAAACTCTTTTCCCAGATGAAGTCCTCTGTTGCATTGGCAGTGTGTTTTGGGTCATTGTCTTGCTGCATGATGAAGTTCCTCCCAATTAGATTGGGTGCTTCTCTGTAAATTGGCAGACAGAATGTTTATCTAGACTTCTGAATTCATTCTGCTGCTATCATCATGAGTTATATCATCAGATTAGTGAGCCCATTCCAGAAGCAACCATGCAAGCCCAAGCCATGACACTACCTCCACCTTGCTTGACTGATGAGCTCATATATTTTGGATCATGAGCAGATCCTTTCTTTCTCCTTGTGCTGTATTTCCTTTCACCTGATTTGGATGTCAAAACACAGTGCAAGTCTGCACTTTGTGCTCATATTCATTATTTAATTTTATCTCCAATATACTGTGGTAGACAGCTAAAATAACTATAATTTTGTCAATGTCCAAATATGTATGTGCGTGACTGTATATAATTTTATATTAATATTTATAATTTTAAATGAAAAAGAAATTAAGAAGTCAGCTTATCCAATCCTTGGTAAGGTTTGGAAGGTTATCTTTAAACATGTACCCTTTAATCTTTTCATTTGCTCTCTTTTCACTTTCACAGATTTTAAAAATTGAATAGTTTTAAGAACTTCATACCGTAGGCAATGTCACAATTTCACCATGTGAAGAGTTTTCTCAGGTCACCACACATACACTATGATCATGCTTGCTTTTGGCTTGTTTGTTACTCATGCATGTCTTTTGGTAATATCAGGATGTGCTAGTAACATGACATTTAACCCTAGCAGATTGGTGTCTTGGTGAGGTGCACACTAGGAACTGAGTCCTGTTGATAAAATTCTACTATCTTATGAACATAAACAGAACTATTTAACATGTCAAAATTGAGCCTGGGCAGCTTTTGCTGCACTCATTTCTCTCCCATTCCCACTGGCTGTAGCTCATAGCTGTTCATATAGGTTGTCCTACACCAGGGGTTCCTATACTAGAGATTGTGACCCATGTAGGATCATTTACAAAAGTGGTCATGAGAGAAACTTACAATCTGCACTTTTGTTTTATTCATTAACTTTATAAATTAATATTACGAATATTACTCAAACTATGAAGACAGATTTTGTGTGCTACTATTCTGAAATGTTACTGGGAGTCACATTTAACTTAAGAGTGTACATGCTATTTTATGTGTGTCTTTGTCACTGTCTTGATATGCTGCACTAGTGTCCATTTCTCCATCCATCTACCTGCACTAGTTCCTCAACAACATAGAGTGACAAGAAATTTAACATGAAAACTTGCTG